AGCCCGATGCGGGGCTCGATCCCAGGACCCTGGGATCATGACCTGAGCCGAAGGCAGACGCTTAACCGACTGAGCCACCCAGGCGCCCCTCTTTTTAAAATTAAAAATTTTTTTTTTTTAAAGTAGACTCCATGCCCAGCATGGGGCTTGAACTCACGACCCTCAGGTCAGGAGTCACCTGCTCTACCGACTGAGCCAGCCAGGCGCCCCAAGGAGTCTCTCTTGAATACAGCCACACCCCTTACGGTGGCGTGGTGGGCAGTGAACAGAATTTTAAGACTATGAGCTGAGATGTGGATACCCCACCTGGTATCACTTATGTTTTGTCTCAAGCCCCTGACAAAGGACTGGAGGGCTCTCAAGACCTGACATCTCCCTCTGAAAGTCAGCCAGTGTTCTTGGGGGGACCGTCCTCACGGAAATCCCGAGGACACTGAGGCCTGTTCATTCATCGACTCCTGACTCCAGCCCCGGCTCTGCCCCATGTAATTGAGAGCTTTATCATTGGTTTCAGGGGTTGCTGACCATCAGCATACAGGCAGGACTTTAGCTTTCCACAGATTCTTGGCTTTCTCTTCCTATTTTCTAGCCAACATAAGTTCAAAGAATATAAATTAATATTGAGGCCAACCTAGTTGAGAAAGCAACATAAAAGCATGGTTAGCAAAATCAGTCCTCACAGGTATCTCTTAGCAATTTATTGGCACTTCTCTTTGAGAACCTATCCTTACGCTGTTGTTTTTGATTTGTTTTGCCCGTATTTCTTTCTTATTAAACCATAACTCCCATGACAGCAAGGACGGTATCTAACTCATTTTTTCATCTCTAGGTGCCTGTTCTGTGCTTTCCACAAAACAGATGTTCAGTAGGTCGATAGTAAATTAAAACGTTCCAGAATTATTTTATGTAGTAATGAACTTTGGTTCTCTTTAATGCCATTGCATTAATGTTCCTGTTCCTATTAGCAAAGGGGATCAAGGATCCTTTACCATTAAAGAATGGGCAGGCTCAAACTTTATAAAATAGTTAACAAATAGCGCTCTGGACATTTGGGAACTTATGATTTAAATAAAAAATGATGTATTTTGATTCAAGTTTATTAGATTTCTGTTTTGAGACATGTTTTGGGGTTCTTAAGGAGATAAAGTGTAATTTTAAAAAGAAAGGTTATTTTTTATAAATTTATTTTTATTGCTACGTGTAACGTACTGCACATTTTATATCCAGACCAAAGATTAAGTGCCTTCTCATCCAAATGGAATTCTGTGATAAAGGGACATTGGAGGCATGGATTGACAACAGAAGAGGCAAGAAGACAGACAAACCTTTGTCTCTGGAATTATATGAACAAATAGCAGAAGGTGTGAAGTATATACATGGTGAACAGCTAATTCACAGAGACCTTAAGGTAAATGGAAAATGTACTCTTCAGATTTGATGTGATTTAGTAATTTTAAATCTATCTTCTCTAGTTTTAGAATTGATTGACAGTCCTGAGGAAATAATATCTCTGATCCTTTAAAGTTAGAATGGATCTAGAACTTGCCCCAAATACCATTCCATAGCACCACTCAGAAGATCTCCAGGATAAATGAATGTATCTAGACAATCGGAAGGAGCCCTGTAGGCAGGAGCTCATTCCCTTCTGGTGTTATCTGGCTGCTTGTCATACTCCAGTTGCAAACACCAACAACTTCCGTAAGCTGAACATTTCTGTGCGGATCATTACCATGGTTAGCACAGCCAACGGGCCGCTCTGTCCCTGCTTCTGCCGCTACTCAGGCTTGTTGGAGAAGCAGAAGGGACTCTCGTGACTGGCTTTGGGAACATGGTTCTCCTTATTTCTTAAGTCATTACTCTTGAGGGCAGTCACAGCTACTGGATCCAGAGTCTAGAATTTTCTTGGCATCTGGTTAGACATTTCTACCCCATGATTGGAAAATTGTACTGATCCAAAACTTGGAACACATAGCTTTGTATTTTTATTTTCTGCTGGCTTCCTAGCTTCTTTCATGGTCCAGATGAGCTGTTTTCCCATTTTACCTTCTCATCAAAATGAAAGAAGGGACAGAAGAGTTTTTCACGGTGTCCCCCAGTCTCTCTTCCCTATAATCTGTCTACTCCCATCACAAACTAGCCATGCAGAATCCTAACACTGTTCATGTTCTTCTTGCACGGAACACTCTTCTGCTTGTCTTCTTTGGTCTCAATTTCTTTACGTAGCCTTTCCTGATCACTCTGGATCTGGCAGAAGCAACTAATCTATATGGATCTTGGCTGTCTGCTTATCCCGCCCATCTACAATAGCCAGGAATGAGGAATGAAGCGGAAGAGTTTCTTGAGAAAAAGAAGCACTCGTGTATAGAGTTGTTGGGCCTAATAGGAATAATTGGCCTATAAAAGATAGTGTGTCTTTGGTCTGCCCCCAGGAGCTGGAGGCTTGAGGCCTTTGTGTTGGAATCCACCTGGTTCTTTCTTTCTTTCTTTTCTTTTCTTTTTAAGATTTTATTTATTTGAGAGAGAGAGAACATGAGGTGGAGGGGGCAGGGACAGAGAGAGAGAGGGAGAGAGAGGGAGAAGCAGACTCCCCGCCAAGCAGGGAGCCCAATGTGGGAGTCAATTCCAGGATGCCGGGATCATGACCTGAGCTTAACGGACTGAGCCACCCAGGTGCCCCTGGTTCCATCTTTCTTTAACGATATCTTAAAGGTGCATTTTAAAGTTGGAATGTTATAAGAACTATGCTCAAAAGAACAGATTTAGAATGGCTATACCTTCACTTTGGAATAAACCATATATATAGTTAAATAAAAAATTTAAGCACAATTACTTAAAAAGTAATCTGCAAATAAATGCAGACGTTTGGGTATTAACTCCCAGACCCCCCTCTGGATGAATTCATGAAACTGACAGGTGCTACCTGGCCGTTCTTTTCCCTAGCACCTCTGTCTCCCACGCTGCCTGTGCCCTGGGTTACGGGCGGTTCTTCTCTTGGCTGTGTTTGCAGACAGTGTTTGCTCCATGGCCGCAGTTGCTCAAAGGTCAGACTTTAATACTCCTGAGCCTTCGTGCCTCTCCTAACTTTTCTAGCTTTACTGCTAGAGTTGCTGCTTTCTCCCAGCCTAAAGAAGATGCCAGCGAAGGCGTGCACCTTTTTCTGTGATGCTTCACATGATACCAGCTGTAGGTGCTTTTTGCCAGAGAATGGTCTTTACCCCAGAAGTCCCTACTGTATAAAGTCTACCAGCATTTACCACGTTCTGTCAGAATCTGCAGAATTAGACCATCAAATCATTACATCATACATCTGAAACTTATATGTTAATTATACGTTAGTAATAAAGAAAGATACTACAGCAAAATGGAGAGAAAAAAAAAACTAGACGAAGATACTGGTGAGGGACATAGAGGTTTCTAGAATAAAAGCTTTGGAGGTTCTTTCCCTCTGTAGGCCCAGGCTCTTCGGTCAGCCTCGGTCTGCGGATTCAGTCCTTTCTTCCTGTACCTCCTGTATAAAGTTTGCACTTTTTTTTTTTTTTGGCCTTATTATACCATAACTGATTAGACAAAATGTGACCTTATTGTTTTTCTTTTTCTTTTTTTTTTAAGATTGTATTTTATTTATTTATTTGAGAGAGAGAGCGAGAGGGAGCACCAGCAGGGAGGAGAGGGAAAAGCAGGCTCCCTGCGGATGCGGGGCTCGATCCCAGGTCTCTGGGATCGTGACCTGAGCCGAAGGCAGATGCTTAACTAACCGAGCCACCCAGGCACCCGTATTTTTTCTTTTTGATGAACTATTAACAAATGATCTGCTCTTTTTACTGGACAGTCTCATCCAGCTTATATATTTAGAAGCATTGTAAATGCAACCTCAGGGTTGCTCAGAGTCAAGTTACAGACCACTGTGGGAGGAGCAGTTGCACTTGCAAAGCCAGCGTATTCCTACATGGTAACCTGAATACCGCATTGGGAGGTTTTTCTCTCTACACCCACCCCACATGCATCTGCAGGTTTCCGTCTTCATTATCAGCCGTAGATTCCAATCTAATTGTGAATGGTGCCAATCTAACTGCTAATTTCTGCACGAGCCTTTTTAGGCTGGCTTCTTGGAAGCTCCTCTTTCACCCTTCTTGGCTTTACGGTCTCTTCCCTGTCAGCTCCTTTGCTAGGCCCTCTCGTGAGTATTACTTGCCTCCCAGAGTCTGCATGTGTATATCAAGCCCAACATCATATTCAAAGTTGCCTTTTCAAGAATGACAGAATATGTTTTTTTAAATATTTTATTTCTGAGCAATGTCTACACCCAATGTGGGGCTCGAACTCACCACCCTGAGATCAAGGGTCTCACGCTCCACCAATTGAGCCAGCCAGACGCCCCAAGATTGGCAAGATACTAATCTCCTTATCAACAACCTTTCTGTTTTCATGGTCTTTAGAATGTTTGTCAATACCACCTATAAAATGGTGGAAGAGAATGAACAACACTCCCCATTTGTCCCCCCCGCCGCCGCCGCTTTTTCGATATGCTTAGAGAATTAACGTACATGAACAGAAATACTTAAGTGCTAGTTATCAGCTTCCAGTTGATGTGGCCTGCCTTCAAGGACAGAGGGGGTGTGTTTGTTAAGAAGTTGTCAGGGGTCTGGAGAAATTGACATCAAGGAAGTCCCCAGGAGAAATTCTTCACATGATATCTTAACAGCTTTATTGAGAAGAGACTCATTCTGAGAATCTCAAACTTAGAGATCTGAAGGGCTTCTACTTCCACCCCCAACAGATCCTGGATTCATATTTGCAACATTTCTACCAAGTCGGTGTCCAGCCCCGCCTTGAATACTCCCTGAGATGGGAACTCTCAAATTCCCATTCTTTGGACCACACTATTAGTATATTAGGATATATTAAAGAAAGCCTTTGGTTGTTTCTATCCTCTAGTACTGTGCAGAGTGAATCCACCTTCCACTAAGCATATCTTCAGATATTTGAAGGCAGTTAGGCCCGAAGCCTTCTCTGCTGAGAGAGAAGTCCTTACTTCCTCAGCTGGTACTTTAAAGATCTGTGACTAAGTGTCCTGTTTTGGGCTACCCATGTAAGGGTAGATGCCTTATAAGGAAATATAAAAATAGCCCTTGTTAAATATGATTTGGATATGTGATAACAGTCTGTTGAATTGGTACTTATAAATATTGGATTTTTTTTTTTTTCTGTAGCCAGGTAACATATTTTTAGTAAATACAAAGCACATAAAGATTGGAGACTTTGGACTTGTGACATCCTTGAAAGAGTATGCAAATCGGACAAGTAATAAAGGAACTCTTCGGTACATGAGCCCAGAGCAGGTGAGGTCCCTTTCCTTTCTATGTATTTTCCACTTCTTTTGTATTTCTAATTATAGAGATAATAGACACCTCTTATAAAATTAAAACAACACAGAAGCATATAGAACAAAAAGGGAAAATTGCCTTTAACGTTCTTTTCTACTCTTCTCATGGAGTCTGTTGTTTATCCTTTTAGATAATTTTCTGTGTTTATATATATATATAAACATATATAAACACAAATATATATGTATATAGAGACTTTTTGCACGAAGATATAAGGACATGCTTTTACAAAGTTACTGTCATGTTATTTTGTGACTTAATTTTTTTCACTCAACAATGTATCCTAATCCTTCTGTGTCAGCACCTGTGGATCTGACACATTCATTTTAGCAACTGTATTGTATGCTGACCTGTACCATCATTTATGTAACTGTTTCTTACTGATGGGTATTTATTTAGGCTGTTAGCAAGTTTTACGTTTCCCCCCTTATCTTTGACTCTAAAAACAAGTATTCCCATGATCATCTATGATAGGTTTCTTCAAGTGAAATTATTGAATAGAATGACAAGTGCATTTCAAACTTGGCCAATACTGTGACATTGTCATCCCCCAAAAAGTGATTCTACTATGCCTTCCTCCCAAAGTGTTGGAGAATGCTGCTTTCTCCTTCCCATTCCCAATCAGACTAGGGTGCTAGCAGACTGCAGTTTGGGCCACTGTGATGAAGGAGGAGTATCTTGCTGGTTCACTTTGCATTTTTCAGATTTTTAGGAAGGTAGACCATCTTTACATGTATTTACTTCACGATTTTTGTGCAGATTCTCTGTGTCCTTTCCTCATTTTTCTTAATTAGGTTATCTGTTCCTAATTTATTTGTAGGGAATATTTAAATATTTCAGTTACTGATTCTGTATCTGTTAACCATATTGCAGATTTGTTCTCCTTGATTGTTCCTTATTTCTTTGTTTATGATATATCATGGAAGCTTAAATTTTAAGTTGTCATGTTTTATCAGTATTTTCTTTATGGCTGCTGGGTTTCTCATTTTTATTTTGGAGGCCATTTCTCCCACAACATTACAAAAATATTTTGTGTTTTTACTTTAGTTGAGCTTAACTTGAATTAGTTTTTGTATACATCTGAGGAAGGGATATACCTTGATCTTCCTCATGTGGATATGCAGTTGCCCATCACCATGTATCAGATAGTTCATGATGTAAGCTTTTATTTTAAGGAAAATTCATAGAAACAAAAAGTAGAACAGAAGTTACTAGGGCCTGAGGGAGGAAGAATGGGAAATTGTTTAATGGTGCAGTTCTGTTTGGGATGATGAAAAAATTTTGGAAATAGATACCGGTAATGGTTGTGTGACATTGTGAAGGTACTTAAAGCCACTGAATTGCACACATGAAACGGTTAAAATGATAAATTTTATGTATATTTTACCATAATAAAAATGGTATTTGTAATCAAAACAGTATGGTGGTGGCACAAAAATAGACATGTAGATCAATGGAACAGAATAGAAAACCCAGGTATGAACCCACAATTATATGGTCAATTAATCTTTGACAAAGCAAGAAAGAATATCCAATGGGGAAAAGACAGTTTCTTCAACAAATGGTATTGGAAAAATTGGACAGCCACATGCAAAAGAATGAAACTGGACCACTCCCTTACACCATACACAAAAATAAATTCAAAATGGATTAAAGGCCTAAATGTGAGACTTGAACCTATAAAAATCGTAAAAGAGAACATAGGCAGCAATCTCTTTGACATCAGCCGTAGCAATCTAGATGTGTCTCCTGAGGCAAGGGAAACAAAAACAAAAATAAACTCTTGGGACTACATCAAAATAAAAAAAAAGCTTCTGCACAGTGAAGGAAACAATCAACAAAACTAAAAGGCAGCCTACAGAATGGGAGAAGATATTTGCAAATGACATGTCCCATAAAGGGTTAGTATCCAAAATATATAAAGAACTTATAACACTCAACACCCAAAAAACAAATAATCCAATTTAAAAATGGGCGGGAGATATGAATAGATATTTTTCCAAAGAAGACATACAGATGACCAACAGAGACCTGAAAAGATGCTCAACATCACTTATCATCAGGGAAATGCAAATCAAAACTACAGTGAGATCTCACCTCACACCTGTCAGAATAGCTAAAATCAACACAAGAAACAACAAATGTTGGTGAGGATGTGAAGAAAGGGGAACCCTCTTGCACTGTTGGTGGGAATGTTAACTCTGGAAAACACTATAGGAGTTTCTCAAAAAGTTAAAAATAGAACTACCCTGTAATCCAGCAATCACACCGCTAGGTATTTACCCAAAGAATACAAAACTACTAATTCAAAGGGATACATGCATCCCGATGTTTATAGCAGCATTATCTTACAAATTATGGTAACAGTCCAGTGTCCATTGACTGATGAGTGGATAAAGAAGATGCGGGAGACACACACACACACACACACACGAATATTATTCAGCCATAAAAAAGAATGAAATCTTGCTATTTGCAATGATGTGGATAGAGCTAGAGAGAATTATGCTAAAGCGGAATAAGTCAGTCAGAGAAAGACAAATATCATGTGATTTCACTCATATGTGGAATTTAAGAAGCAAAACAAATGAGCAAAGGGGGAAAAAACAGAGAGGCAAACCAAGAAACAGACTCTTAACTATAGAGAACAAACTGATGGTCACCAGAGGGGAGGTTGGTGGGGGGATGGGTGAAATAGGTGATGGGGATCAAGGAGTGTACTTGTGATGAGCCCTGGGTGATGCGTGGAAGAGTTGAGTTACTATATTGTACACCTGAAGCTAATATTACACTGTATGTTAACTAACTGGAATTTAAATAAAAACCTAAAAGAAACGCTATTTTATCATACATGAAATTCCCACACACTCATGGATCTGTTTTTGGATGCTCTTCTGTCCAAATGACTTATTTTTATCTTTTTTCTTTAATATCATACTGTCTCAGTTATTATAGCATTATAATACTGGTTTTAGTATTTGGACAGCAGGACCTCCCACATCATTCTTCATTTTAAAAATGTTCTTAGTGTTCACATTCACTATTCCATTTGGAATAAACCATAGAATCAGCCTGTCATGGTCCATCACTGGTGTTGAGATTTTTGACAGCAACTGCATTAAATTGAAGGATTCAACTGAGGAGAATTGACATTTTTATATATCTGAGACTTCTGCTCCAGGAAATTGACAGGTTTCTCCCACTTATTCAAGTCCTCTCTCAAGTCAGCCTTGGCCAGGCAGTCTTACGGTAACCGGTGACTCCCAATCTCTTTGTGGCATACAAAACACCAAAGATTTATTTCTTGCCCACGTGATGTGTTGGCTGCGATCTGGCTGTGGTTTTGTTCCACGTTGTCTCCTTCATTCCAGAACGCAGACTGAAGGAAGCACCCTGTCTGGATCATTGCTGTCCTCACAGCCGGCGGCGGTGGTAGAACCTTGTGATGACTTGTGTGGGCTCTGCCCAGGAGTGGCACACATCACTACCCATCATAGCCCTGCGTGAAGTGCATGGCCCAACCCAAGGGGTGGAGATGGCAGGTGTCGTCCTCTTACTGGGAGGCCAGAGCACAGCCGGGGGCAATGATAAACCTACCTTACGGCCATTTTTATATTCTTCAATGAAGTTTTAAAATATTTTTTTCTTCATGAAGACCACTTATATTTTTATTTTTTTTTGACCACTTCTATTTTTAAAGCATTTCCCTCAATACGTATAGTGTTTTGCTGTTAAAATGGGACTCCTTGTATCTAATTGGTTATTAATAAGTCTATTGATTTTAAAACATATTTATTTTTAATTGTGGTAAAATACATATAACATAAAATTTCCCGTGTTAGCCATTTTTAAGTGCACAGTTGAGTGGCATCACGTACTTTTACGTTGTTGTGCAATCATCTCCACCATCCCTCTCTAGAACTCTTTTCATCTTGCAAAACTGAAACTCTGCACCCATTGAATAGCTCTGCATTCCCCTCTCCCCCAGCCCTGGCAACCACCATCCTACTTTCTGTCTCTATGAATTTGTCCACTCTAGATATCTTGTTTGAGTAGAATCATACAGTATTTGTCTTTTTGTGACTAGCTTTTTTCACCCAGCATAATATCCTCAATATCACCCATGTTGTAGCATGTGTCAGAATGTCCTTCCTTTTTAAGGCTTAACAATATTCCGTTGTATGGATAGACCACATCTATTCATCCATCAGTGGATTCGTGGGTTGCTCTACCTTTTGGCTCTTGTGAAAATTGCTGTTATGAACCTGGTTGTACAGCTATTGATTGTGAATGTTTGTCTTATATATAGATTCACTATTCTAGTAGCTTATATTTTTTGGTTGGCAGTTTATTGTCTATTTTTCATCTTTTTGATGTTTGAGAGTCTAGAATGGAGAGGAAATCCACCTGTTCCCTTTGGGGACCGTGTGGCACAAAGACATAATTTAAGTTTGTTGTGGAATGTGAAAGTGGGAGACAATAGGTGGCTAATGGCCCCCCTTTAACTCCCACTTTATTAAGTATCTCCTGCACCCTGTATTGCCACCCTAAAAATATTTTTTAAAAATTCATTCATCATTGTGCTTTTCATTTTCGTAGTGGTTTTTAAATTAAAAATCATTTTATTAGGGGATGATTTATACACCATAAAATGTACATACCTTAAATGTACATTTTTTTGACAAAGGCATATTCCTGTGAAACCCATAAGCTTATGAAAATGTAGAACATTATCCTCACCTGTGAGAATTCCCTCAGGCCCTTTCCAGTCCATCCCTCCTTCCCAGAGGCAATTAGTGCTCTGGTTTCTATCACCGCAGATTAGATTTCCCTGTCTTGAGCTTCATATGAATGGAATCATACTTTATGTACTTTCTTGTATTTGATTATTTCCCTCGAAGTAATGTCTATTGGAGAACTTCTAGTTGTTGCTTATGCCAACAGACTATTCCTTTTTGTTACCGAGTACTATTCCATTGCCTGAATAGGCCACAGTGTGCTTATTCATTCTCTTGCGGATGGACATTCAGATTGCTTCCAGTCAGAATATTAGAAATACATCTTCTATGAACATTTGCATGCAAGTCACTTGTGAGAAATATTTTAGCTATTTTACCTGCTGCATCTTACTTAACACCACAGTCAAACTCTGAGGTTGGAACTTTCGTTATCCCCGTTTTATGGTTGAGATTATTCTACCCTTGATGGTTCATTTACATGGGTGATGCAGCTATTTAGTGACAGATTGGAACCAGGGCAGTCAGACTCCACAGATGTTGCTAACAAACATGTCTTGTAACATGATAGAAGATATTTGGTCAAATAACTTTTTTTGGCTTCAGAAGAACATGGATATTTATATTGGGTGAGTAACGAATGTAAACATATCTTGGTCTCTTTAGATTTCTTCAGAAGAATATGGAAAAGAAGTGGATATCTTTGCTTTGGGGCTAATTCTCGCAGAACTTCTTTACATATGTCCCACTGTTTCAGAAACAATACAGGTAAATAATCTCTTGAATATATTCGTGTTGACTGAAAAGGAAATACAGATTTTATCTTTTCCATGTTTGGGCTTTTTGTTTAAGACCAAAACCTTTGGTCTTCTTTGAGAGGTATGTACAGCTCATAAAACTACAGCTGTTTCTTGAGTCAGTCAGTAAACTTTTATGGATTGCCTGCTTTGCATAAGACACTGTGCTAAGTGCTACAGGGTTATAAAAATGAATAAGCCTTGTTCTCAAGGAGCTTATATTCTAGAAAGGAAAATAAGAGAATGCCATACATGTTTTGGGAGAAGACATGAAGTTTTGTGGAAATGACTAGGACAGAGATCTTGCTAGCTAGAGGGATTTCGGTTTCATGGGGGTATTTAAGCTGAGCTTTGAAGGATTGGTTCGCTTCTAATGGTCCAAAATAGAAAGAAGGCAGATCCAGCCTTCAGACAGCAATGTGCAGAGTGTGGGAATAGCAGGCAGTGGCATTTTTATTGGAGTATATGTGACAAGGAAGCGATGGTTGATGGCACTGGAAAGACATGGTGGGGCTAGATGAAGGCAAGATGATGGACTTTCTTATGGAGGCAGTGGGTTGCCGCTAAAGACATTAGGCAACAGGACAGCTTGGTCTGAAGCTCAATAAAGGGAACTTGCCTGGAACCAACAGCCTTCTCTGTACAATGGGGTAATCAAAATACCTATCACATAAGATTCCAAAAAGGATGAAGGGAGATAATGCATATGATGCTCTTAACACTTCAGCATATCATGATGTTAAGGATGGGGCAAGGTGGGGAAGGGGAGTCCTGTGTGCTTCTTGGCTAAGAAACAAGTTTGGTTTTCCTCCCAAGTGAATAATTTCCTAGTGATTATATATATATATATGTTTTATTTTCAGATTTTTAAAGACCTAAGGGCTGACAAGTTCCCAGATATGTTTGATGCCAGAGAAGTAAGCACTTGAAAATAATCAGAATTTCATTTATTGCAATGTTCTATTTCTTAGTATTGACTCATTATCATTACAGAAATTTCTTCTGGAGAAATTATTGTCACAGGATCCCACAAAGCGACCTAATGCATCTGAAATACTGGAGACTTTGAAGGAGTGGAAGAATGTTGCAGTGAAAAAGGAACGAAGCACGTGGTAGAGCCCTTCTAAAAAAGTATCCTACTTTGGATATTCAATTTTTCTGTAACTGTCTAAAATCTTCTAGGGACTGCTGATGGTATTTACCTTCTATTTTAATTTTTCCCTTAATTTTTCACTACATTTTAGGAAGGTTTGAATCTTTTTTTTTTTAACTTCAGAAACATTCATACATTTGCCTAATTGTCCTGGCTCATCTCCTTATTATAAACATTGGGGGGGAATCTCTCAAATTTTTTATATCAATTAGTGAATCAATCAACTAATAATATTTATCAAGTGTTCACTCTTTCTAGGCCAAAAAATGTAAGATCTTTCCTTGTCTTAAATAGCTAACCAGCTTGTTAGAGAAATATGGTGTCCCTAAAAAGATAAGTGATATACAATCATTTTGGAAAACAATTTGGTCTGATCTGGTTAAGTTGAAGGTGTATATACCCTCAAAGCCATCAGTTCCATTCCCACTTGCATGCCTACAAGAATGTTCATAGAAACTCTGTTTACAATAGCCAAAAGAACAAAAAACAATGTCCGTCATAAGAAGAATGGATAAATAGTTTCTTTTTCATACATTGTAATACTGCATAGCAGTGAAAATGAATGAATGACATGCTAAATGCAGTTACATGATACATCTGGTAGGAACATAATGTTAAGGGAACATAGCTGGTTACAGAAAATATAGACAAAATGGTTCTCTTTACATAAAGTTCCAGAGAGAATGCTAAAGGAAAGAATTTTGTTTAGAAATGCAAACAAATGTGGTCAAACAATAAAAGGAAAGAAAGGAATAAAGAAATATTAAATCCCATAGTGGTTCTCTAAGGAGGGACAGAAGTGGTGTGACCCAGGGGGTGAACTGCAAAGATAACAATTCACCTTTTTTTCTTAAACTGGCTGTTGAGTTTACTACTGCTTACTGCCTAGTTATTCTTTTTTATCTTAAATACATCTTGATTTTGGCTTAGGTCGTGATCTCATGGTGGTGGGATTGAGCCCCGCGTTGGGCTCTGCGTTCAGCGGGGAGCCTGCTTCTCTCCCTCTCCCTCTGCCCCAATCCCTGCTCTCTCTCTCAAATAAATAAGTAAAATCTTAAAAAAAAAAAAAAAAGAGAGAGAGAGAAAAGAATAGTGAAACTCTATGTACCCATCACCCAGTTTCAACAACGATCAGTATTCCATCCTTCTTGTTGTATATACCCCCTTCTTCTTTAAAATTTTCTTTTACTGGAGTATTCTAAAGCAAATCTCAGGCATTATATCATTTCACTTGTAAATACTTAAAAACGTATCTCTGATATAAGATCTTTTGAATTTTAACAAAACCATGATAACATTGTCATTCAATAAAATTAATAAGATTTCCTTGATTGTCATCCAATAATCTTGTCTGTATTCCGTTTTCTTCACAAAAAAATATTTTTACTGGTTGTTTAAATCAGGATCCAACACTGTATGTAGCTGATGTCTCTTACTCTAACATTTACCCCTGTTTTCAGTTTTTCCTCTTGCCATTTATCTGAGGAAGGAACTGCATCACATATCCTGTAGAATTTCCTTCATTCAGGATCTGACTGGTAACATCCCCATGGTGTCTAGTCAGAACTAGAAACTTGATTTGATTCTGGTTCAGATTTTCTTCCCCAAGAATAATGCATCAGCAATGCTGTATACTTCCTTTGGCATCACTTTGGGAGGAATATGTTTGGTTTTTCCACTGTCGATGCTCTGAAGATTGATCGGTGGGCTCTGGGGCTGTCATGTCCTATCAGGTTTCCTACCCATCTTCCACCTAACAGTTTTGGCGACCATTGATGATTGTTTTTTTGGATCCATTATTTCATTAAGGGTTGCAAAATAGGGGTTTTCAGATCCCATCAAACCTCTTTGTCATCTGTGATTCTTCTATAAAGAACTTAAATGGGACAGATGGGATATTTATTTTTAAAATGAGTTGGTGCCCTGGCAAACTCCAAAGGTGACAAATGAGGTGTTTGTTTTTTGAGCAGGGGTGGGTGTGACCCAACCAGTTCTTTAAAACAGTGTGCTTAGAATGGGTTGGAGCGGGAGGAGACTATATTTAAAAGACCAGAATGCTGAGAGACTGTGCCGGCCTGGAAGAAATAGTGGGGTCAGAACCAAGAGGAGTTGGTAACTAATTGTGAGGATTAAGGAGAAGGTATGCAGCAGACATTACCTCCAGGTTTGTTTAAAGGCGTGTGGCTGGATTAGGATGCCATTACAGGAAATACAGGCCCCAATCACATTAACCCCCAAAGAGCCACTCATACTTGAGAGCTATTTTGTCTCACACTTTTATCTATTACACAATTTTTCATTAGAATTTAAGCCAATAGTGAGGCCACCGCATGTCTGTCCTCACGGTGAGGTGAACACTTAAGGGAGGTAAAACGTGAGCTCTCACGTGGAGACGCCGTGTTTGGGTTGCAGCCAGAATATTCAGGTGAAGATGTAGAGCAGACTGTAGGAAACAACACGATAGGGACACGATGGAAAGGATGGAATCGTACGCAGAATAATGTGTATGTTATCTGGAAGCAACCCCTGCAGCTCAACTTTGAATCTAGGGGATTGCCAAGAGAGATCATATAGAGGAAAGCAGGCTAAGGGACAAAATATGGCAGACAGTCCATTTAGATATTTACTCTTTATATTGAAATGTCCACCGAGTCCTAAATGTCTATGATTCTGTGATTCTGTTATCTGTGACTGTGGCCTATCCCAAGCCTTCATTTCCTCAGATGGAGGGACTATGGTTGATCGATGTACGGTGGCCTCACTATTGGTTTAAACTCTGACTAAAAACTGTATAATAGGTAAAACTGTGAGGCAAATATCTCTCAAATATGTGTGGCTTTTCAGGGGTTAATTCGAGACCTGTTATCAGTTTTCTATGCTGCGACAAATTACCACAAACTTGGAGGTTGAACACAACACACATTTATTCTCTTGCCAGACGTCTGAAATGAGTTTCACTGGGCTTAAGTCGAGGTGTTGGCAGGGCCATGCTCCTCTGGAGGCTCCCGCTTCATGACCCATGTTCACTGTTACTTGAATAAGCCCTCACCACACAGGTTGGCTGTGTTACTTGAATAAGATTTTGCACTCAGTGGCTCTCTACTACGGTTTCTACCTAAAATTCCCTTCAAATTTTTTAATAAAATTTTATTGAGATATAACTCACATACCATACAATTCACCCCTTTAAACTATACAGTTCAATGGTGTCAAGTATGTTCAGAGTTGTGCAGAAAACCCATACCCATTAGCACTCATTCCTCATCTTCCCCCAAAGACTAATCTACTACTAATTTACTTTCCATCTCTATAGATTCGCCCACTCTGGACATTTCATTTAAATGGAATCATACAATATGTGGTCTTTTTCACTTAGCATAGTGTTTTCAAGGTTCATCCATGTTGTGGCATGGATCAGTACTTCATTCCTTTATATTGCCAACTAATTATCATTTATATGGATATGTCACATTTTATTTATCTATTCATCAGTTGATGGACATTTGGGTTGTTTCCACTTTCCTGATATTATGAACAATGCTACTATGAATATTCATGGACAAGTTTTACGTGGACGTGTTTTTGTTTCTCTTGGGTGAATACCTGGGAGTGGAAGGGCTGGGTCACATTGTAACCCTCATAACTGTGTATCCAGGTTACGTTCAGGACCAAATTCAGTGACTTCATAGTGTTCCATCATCCCCACTCAGAATGAAACTTCTCCCTAGTACTGCTGTTGTTTAGTACCTCAGTATTATGCTCACCAATTTGCCTTGGAGCTCAGTAATTCCTATGCGGCTCTCTCTGAATTTCTGGAAAGCAGGGACAGGCTCTCTCATTTTTTTATACCCCAAGGTGGTGAATGTACTGCCTTGCATAAAGCAGTAACTCCATAAGTACTTTTGAATTGGTGGGAAATGAAAGTATTAAGAATTTCATATGCTTGATCCTACAAAATGTGTCTAATACTAAATAATGTTCACTTTCAAATTTCAACAATTAAATGGCAAATAACACTTAAAATAAAGGTGTTTAAAGCAAACCAATTTCTATGTTAAAGTTTGTTTATTTTGCATTATAGAAGCTCTGGTATTTTGGATTTATATTAAAATGAAACACTTTAGAAATTATAGATAGGACTTTGAAAACTTAGCACAGTATAAACAAAAGTATATAACATGATGTGTTAAAATTTAAGTTTCAAATTTCACATAAATTTCACTGAAGCAAATTCAAATTCACTAAAGCAAATTTAAAAATTCTTTTTAATGTTTTGCTTCTGTTGGTTTTCATTATTGTCCTTGTGAAATCAATGAAGACTTACATTAATAAAAATAAATTTTTACTCATTGAAAGCCTGTATTTTTCATGTCGATGGATAAGAATGGAGGGATGTTTCCCACTCTCCAAGGGAGGCCTAGTTCTAGCCCTTGACCTGGAAATGCAGACCACAACTCTGGTAGAGTCACAGACTCCATCAAAGTTATTTGTATGTTCTCAGCCTAATTATGCGTGAACATATTAAAAATATTCTTGGCCACTAGGCAGGTGGGAGGTTTTCTCCACAGTCATTAACTGGAGGAAAAAAAGAAGTTGGTGCCTAACTCTGTTCCATCTAAATCAATCCACGTGGCTTTGGGAATGACTGCATGAATATCAGAATATTGGCTAAAAGGACAGGAAAGTATCTGACTGTAATTCCAAGGAAAGATGAACTTCTTTGTTTTAGCTATTAATTCAATTTTATTGTTTTTTAAGTGAAAAAGTAAATATTAAATAGTATTGTTCAATTGTATAATGGAGCGCAATTATACAATTGAGGAAGTCAGCATGTGTGGCCCAGCCCCTGGTGGGTTCTCTCAGCTTGAAAGCTGAATGGTCTCAGAATGCAAAGGTGGGCTCTATCCCTGGTGAGGCAGAGGTCTGTAGTTGCGTCTAGGCAGGGAGATATTTTAGGGAGCCTGACAGGAGAACAAGTCAACCTTGCTCTCTACTCCAGCTTCACTGATGATAAATAAAGCCGACACTTTGAGCTCTCTCTGACTCCCATGTCTTACTTCTCAGTTTGATCCAAAGTGAAGAGGGGAATAAGAGAGGTATCCTTAAGCCCCAGAAGCATCACAATCGAGTCTTGAATTGTAATTGCCCGTGTCTGTAACACTGGTGTTCTGAAATAGCATTCCGTTATTTTTCTGAAGTCTATGAACAACTATAAAGTACAAAGTATTTCCAAAGTTACAAAAAGAACACAACATATAAAAGGCCCTCTTTCTTTAGGCATAATGTGGGAATTCTAACTGTTCAACTGTCTATTTTTAGGAAACATTTCCCAAGTTTCTACTTTATTGAAAATAATCTTAGTCGTGATCTGCCGAAGTTGGTCCTGGGCAATTTGAAGAGAGGTCTTCTTTATCTGTGATTTATGTGAGGAAAATAAAAGATTAATATGACTTGTACAGTAAACTATTCCAGAAAATTATGTTAACATAACATGTGTTTCGTAGCTGTGTTTGCTACTTACTCAGCTAAACCAGGAAAAGATACAAGAACCAACAAGTCTTTACTGTCAAGTATAAAGTCCTTAAATTCAAGTTAACAAAGCCAACTTGGGCGAATGTATTACAGGGGAAAGTACTTGACTTTATAAGACATCTGGCCAGTTTTAAACCCATTTGGAGTGGATTTCAACATTCTGATTTTTATAGTTCAGGGATAATATCTACATAAAAACTAGTTCTAAAAATTTTAAATATTTTTCAAGTACTATAGCTGAAGAAAGAATCTTTAAAAATAAATCATGAAAACAAATCATCCCCAATTAACTCAAAAATTCTTCCTTTTTGAAATAGAAGACCGAAAAATTCCCTTCTGCACATTTAGTTTCTGAAAAGTTAAAAGCACCTTTAATAAGGCCTCAATTAATGGGGAGCCTGGGTGGCTCAGTCAGTTAAGCAGCTGCCTTCGGCTCAGGTCATGATCTCAGGGTCCTGGGACAGAGCCCCTTGTTGGGCTCCCTGCTCAGTGGGAGTTTGCTTCTCCCTCTCTCTCTGCACCGATCCCCCCAACCCCTACTCGTGCTCTCTCTCTCAAATAGATTTTTGAAAAAAGGCCTCAATTATTTCTATATTCACTATTGCTTTAAGACATTGGTCCCACATTACCATTTGGATGGAGTAAGAAATTACCATTGTCTATGGGAAATGTGACTTTCATACACACAAGAAAAATCAAAGTTAAAAATCAAAGAACATTTGTATTCAATATTTTTAAAAAGTGCGAAGTATCCTCTTACCTTCATAGGCTGTTCCACACCAAATACAATACAGATGCTCTTCTCTTAAATAACCAGTCAATATTTGTAATTTTTCCAGTACCTAGATGTAGGACATAGGCACATTAATAGTTCAAATTGAACAGAATCTTGGTTTTCTGATCTTTTGGATCCTGCCAAATTAGCCCAAAGCCATAAATCTGCTACTCTCTTAACCAGGTAGGAGAAGTATGAAGGGCAGAGTATATTAGAACATGTTCCAGTTTATCAGCCACCCTGATATTTTCACAAGTCTGCCAGACACAAAGAGACCACTTGTTAACATTTAGAAAATAGGTTTGGGCTGGCTCTATTTTAATCACCATCCTTTAAAGACCCCTTCTACTTTCAAAGAATCTTCTTCCCTGGTGGGATGAGAGTGAACACTGCCTCCTTTGTCCTTAAAGTTCTCAGCAATGGTCTCCTAGTTAAGCAGAACATTGGTTTTTCAAATTGTAAATGGTTCCTACAAAATGCTCACGTACAAATAACCATAGAAATAGGATTCCTTTCTTGAATAATCTCCATTTCCTTTGAACTATGTTTTCTGGCTTTGTTTATGGGTGGAGGAGAGAGGTACTCCTATAGAATCACTCCGGAAATTTAACAGGCAACAAGGTAGAAATTGAAATAATTTACATTTGCAGCTCATCCGTCATCCAAACCAAAGCTGAGATGAGAGTGTAAACTGAAGCCAAAGGAAGAAATTATATACTTTTGGTAAAGTTATAATGTCGTGGTTCTCAAGAAGGGCTCGGAGTGTTAGTGGTGCCAGCGCTGAGATGCCCTGCTCAAGGAACTGGTGCCAAAACGTACACTTAAGTCTTCACTCTTATATTCATCTTCATCTGGCTCTTTTTCTTCCTCTTCCTCTTCCTCAGTCTCCTCTTCAAGCCCCAACCAGTACCATGCTTCCCTGGGAAACTGAATGTTCTGAAAATGGGAGAATTATTCCCAATTAAACACAAGTATGTTCGTGTCAACATGAATTCATATTCTTTCAATTCCGTATTTATATTTACTGAGTGCTGCCTCAAGAGTTAAGCACTGTGCTATATGAACCATGGGGATGAAGACCCAGTTGGAATACTGTCCCCAAGCTGCTGCCGGTCTAGGAAGGAAAAGACATGGGTATACGTAGCCTAATGGGTATAAAATAATACATATAAGGTAGAAATCTTAAGTGTCATGACACAGACACAAAATAAAATGCTATGAAAATACAGAAAAGTGGGAGATGGCTTCCAGCGATCTATTTACATATGAGGGAAATTTTACAAACGTTTTTGAGACTTAAAATGAAGTCATTTTATTTTGGTGGAAACATCAAAATAAAAAATAAAAGCAAAGTGAGATAAAAATAGAAAAAATAGGATTTTAAAAACCACTCACATCTGAAACAGATAGTAATCTACCATGGTTTTACTAATTAGGGACACAAAAAGTACTGAATATGGACTAAAAATAGGCTATTCTGGTTAATCAAATATTCCGGTGAACAGAATTTCCACACGCACCAGCTCTGAGTCATCGATACTCAAATAAGCAGAGAACAATTAAATATAAAAACATTATTTGACGCTTAGTGGGTAATTCAGACCACTCTGGTTCCTGCAGAGGACAAGTCATCGTGAGTACCAATCATCAAAGATCAGTAGTGCGCGTTAAATGAAAGCTTTACCAGGTAGCAGGCTAGATACACTGGGCTTGGAGTTCTTTTCTTTCTTTTTTTTTTCTAATTAGAGGGAAAATCACACCGGGTGCCAAAAGTGTTCCAAACTGAATACAGGTCAAAGGCTTGCCTTCTGAGTATCCAACTGCTGGCATGCTCGCTGGCTTCTCCTCAGGTCCCCTTCCAGCTTCACTTCATCATGCTTATGTTTAAATCGCAGTCTAAAAAAAAAATAAAATCAATCAATCAATCAATCGATCACAGTCTCATTGAAAGAAGACCACAGTCCACTAACAGTCTGTACTCTCTTTACCCATTTTATGTGCCCAACTCCCAGAAAACATACGACAGGAAAGACAAGATGAAACCCAACGTAGCGCAAGCACAAAGTGTTACCGAAATTGCTCTGCGGCTGTTTCTTCAGCTTGGTTTTTCATGTGAATCTTTCTCCTGTAGTTTTCTAGTTTTTCCTCTGCTTTCCGTTTCAGTAATGCCTCATGACCAAGGCCGCTTTTCCCTGTTCAAACAGCAAACTCTGCTGAGGGACCTGCTGGCTTCACACTTTTAAAACATGGCAACTGACATATTTGCATATGACACACAATTCTAATCTGAGAACAATCACTCAAAATCATTTGACATGAATGACAGGAGAAAACAGTAGGGATTTTTTTTTTTTTCTAAACCCAAACACACAATTTGATTTTTACAAGATCATTAGTCTGATCTCATATGATAGTCACGCTATATAAAATTTTTTAAATTGGGAAAACATTATCAACTGTCATACTTTCATATAAATATCATGAACAAATAAAATAGATATTTTTCTCCTTAATTCATCCAAAGTATTTAGAAAAACACTGAATGGATGAATCTGTCTTAGAAGACTTTTAGGACATTTCAAAGGACAAAAGTAGCTCTGCATTTTTAATGGTCACAGCATTTTTTCCCCATATTTTTATGATTTAAATTTTATTTTATATTCACTGAAATTTTTATTTTTAGTTTAAAAGATTTAGAAGTTTAAGAAATATCTTACTGGGACGCCTGGGTGGCTCAGATGGTTAAGCATCTGCCTTCGGCTCAGGTCAGGATCCCAGGATCCTGGGATCGAGCCCCACATCAGGCTCTGTGCTCAGCAGGGAGCCTGCTTCTCCCTCTGCCTGCCTGTCTGCCTACTTGTGATCTCTCTCTCTCTGTCAAATAAATAAAATCTTAAAAAAAAAAAAAGAAATATCTTACTGAGGGTTTCCTGTGATTAGAACTGTAATAGTGCTACCATAAGAAAAGTATTTAGTAAGCAAATGTATGTGTTAGATCTAAACATCAGTTCTTATTACTGGTAAATATACTCAAAAATAATTATATACCTGTTTTGACGTTGAGAGGAATTGGCTCAACAATACCATCTCCTAAGAAAAGAGGACAAAACACACAAACTACTTTAGAAATTCTTCTGCAAACTATAGGTGGGCATAGTATGCGACGTCACAATGTTCTATACATACCCTTCCAGCTTCAGTGTCACTTGAGACTGAAAACTGACTATACTCTATAATCAACTACCTCCCTTGCCATCAAATACCTGCTCCTCAGTAAGGCTGCCCCACAGGGCCCTCTGAAGGTAGGGTTTCCTGAAGTGAAAACACCGATACTCTATGTCCAAGAGGGCGGCAGCCTCCAGAGAAAGCAAAGCCTTGCTAGGTGAGGATCAAAGCCATTACAGTAAAGAAGAGAAGACCAGAAAGACAGCTTACTACAAACATAGGGCCTCTCCATCTTAATAAACAGTCTCACTTTCTAAAAGGGAAGCGAGAATTGAGCTTGTCCAACCAGATGCTCATTTAGGCAGCTGCCACAGGTACAGAGCGAGCAGGGCAGAGTGCTGCCATCCTCCTCGATGTCATTTCACTGTCCTTGGGCTGTTGCACTCCTCAACCCTTCTCTTGTCACCATTCTTAGCTGCCGCCTTCATTGTAAGTCTCGTCTATCCCAGATGTTAGCGCCTTCAAGGCTGAGCTGGGCTGATAAGTAGCTCTTGATGGCAAATGGTTGTCTAAAGTGGCGTAGGAAGATGGAAGTTCCCTATATGGCTTGTTAGCATATAAGAGACTAGCTAAATTGTCTTAATTTCAGTGGAGATGGGTAAAGAGTTGTCTCTGGTACTCATCAATAGATCACCATTTGGTGGTTAGGAACGCCTGCTTCTGTCCAGACGGAACTTACCACTCTTGCCAAGGGCCTGACCACTTTTATATCCCATCTTTTGGAGCAGAGCAAACCCTTTGTTTTCACAGCCTAGTGCATTCTTCAACCCAATGTCACGTCTTTCTTGTTCTTCTTCTTTTAAACTCTTCTGTCTATTTTTCAAATTAGCTTCCTGTTGCTTTTCTTCTTTTCGACGGGCTTCTCGGATCTGCCTCAGCATTGGCAATCCTGGTCTGATGTCTTGTCTGAAGAATAAGGGAAAAGGTGATTTTGGATGAGTACCTGAAGGTTTCTCATAACTTTGCTACTTACTCATTTGACACTGCTTAAAAGTTCACTACCTCTATGATCACCTTTGTTATTATTGATATTAGAACATAATCAGTGACCTCTGAGAATGGCTGCTCTAATAAAAATAATGAAGGCTGGTGCCAGATTGTAGGAAACTAAAGAAGTATAGAGTTGAAGAAAGTAATTTTACACTAATTTTTCTAGGAGGTTGGAAATAATAAAGAGCAAAGTTGAATACTAGCTAGAAAAGACAGTAAGAAAATAAAGCAGAAGAGAAATTTCCTTGAAAGAGGAGAATAACAAGAATCAAGGGCAGAAGTCAATGTTTAGTATTAAAAGGGAAATAAAGGCTCCTAGTATCTTTAATATGAAAATGTAGGTGATGTTTCCATAAAGCAATGAAACTAACCTTCCAACCCGCATTTAAAATCAATGTCATTGCTTAGGAGTCTCCTACATGCCATTACATGAGATGTACACATTTACTTACTGGACATTAATGAAGGAATCTGACATATAGTCCTCTTCTTCTGCCATGTTCAACTTCATATGGCAAAAGTTTCTACAAATCAAATAGGATAAAGTAACAATACCTATTATTTCAGTTTATAATGGAAATAGATCTGTCTCTGCAGCCCTCCCACACATTCAAGTGCCTCCCAGCATCTTTCTGTGTGAAGCTCCCCAACAACTCATTCTCTTCTACCCTAAGCCTCCTTCATCTCCTATTATTTTCAAATGAATGTTACTACAATCTGCCCATTCCTGACCTCTTACAAACCTCTGCCAAGCCTTCCTCTACAATACCCCTCATTTTTCCTATAGTTAAGGCATTTCTTTCTCACCTAAACTATTACAACAACTTCCTAACTGGTCTCATTGCAATTGGGCTCTCCTCTTCCAATCTGTCTCCTACACGCTCTCCAGAGTGTTGTTTTTTTAAGACTACTTTTTTTTTTAAGCTTATTTATTTTTTTTAATCTCTACAAACGTGGGGCTCGAACTCACAACTCTGAGATCAAGAGTCGGGGGGGGAATCGGAGGGGGAGACGAACCACGAGAGACGATGGACTCTGAAAAACAAACTGAGGGTTCTAGAGGGGAGGGGGGTGGGAGGATGGGTTAGCCTGGTGATGGGTATTAAAGAGGGCACGTTCTACATGGAGCACTGGGTGTTATGCACAAACAATGAATCATGGAACACTACATCAAAAACTAATGATGTAATGTATGGTGATTAACATAATAATAAAAAATTAAAAAAAAAAAAAAAGAGTCGTGTGCTCTCCCCACTAAGCCAGCCAGGTGACCCCAGAGTGTTTTTTTAAAAAAAACATAAGTCAGGTCATTTAACCTGTTTCAAATCCTTCAGTAAGCTTTACCCTGTAGACATTGGAGGACCAGTCACTTTAACATGGTAGCAGGAGGGATCCTTCATAATCTGACCTCTGACGCTCCTTTAGGATTCAATATGCAAGTCATACGGGCTTCACATTGCCCTCTGAACATACTACAGACATTTCCTTCCTCCTGGGCCTTGGTGACCCTCCTTCACAAAGTCTGTCCTGACCATTCCAGGCCTTGCTCTACAGCACTTCATGTCCAAGCTGCTCATTTAAAACTTGATACAGTTAACATCTTACTTATATGGAAACATTTTTGAGGAGAGTTTCCATCCAAAATAGTTAAAATCATGTAATTATTTTCCCTTAGAGGTATAAAATAATTATCAAGAAAAGTGCACCTCAAACTTTATTATGTATAGGAATTGCCTCAGGATCTTCTTAAAATCCAGAGTCTGATTCTGAACTAGAGCCTGAAGTTCTGTATTTCTGTTAGGCTCCCAGGTGACATCGATGCTGCTGGTCCAGTGGCTAGTTACAAAGGGTACTCATTTGTTGCAGTGCATACATGCTGTTTTTGCCTGCATCCTTTCCTTTGAGGACCCAGCCCTCTGCCCTCCATGCAGTTCTAGTGGAAGGTGGCAATCTCAGTACTCTGTACTGGGGACTCCCAATTCTGGTACACTATGTCCCAGCAACAGAGGAGGTGATGAGCTAACCAGGGCACATAAGCATCTCTTTCCTTACGTGATATGAATATACAGATTGTGGGGGGAAAGAAATCTCTTCACTGGGGTTTCCGAACTGGAAGTATGTGAAGCTGGGCTCCAAATGGCCACCTTCCTGGCCATTTGAAGGGATTCTATTCTGCAGAATGAAACCAGATAGAAAAAATGCACAAAGGTAGTCCTAAAAGCAATGAGTCTCTACCTCTAGTTCCTAAGACCCAGATTCCTATAGCTCTTTCTTTGATGCTGTGACTAACATTCTTCCCAGTTACATGGGCTAATAAATCTCCTCATTTCTTAAACTTGGAATAGGGATTCTGTCAACTGCAACTGAGAGTTTGGACAACTACACTGGATGGGAAAACTATTACTGTACTGTTTTTGTTTGTTTGTCTTTATAATTTTTTAGTGTGTATCTTCCTAACCAGGCTGTAAACCCCAAAGACAAGTTCCCTATATCCCTACCACCATGGCCCAAACACTATAAATTCTAAATGTTTAGCCATGATAAGAACAAGAAGGGTCTTTACTTTGTGATTTTGTAATAATAGAATACTTTTCTCCCTAGGTCATCATGTCTTAAAACAAATGTACAGATAATGAATTTTTATGAGGCAAACACTCTTGTAACCAAGTGGTAGCCTCCAAGATGGCCCCCAATGATTCTTGCCTCTTGGTTTTCCACATCCTCGTGCAGTCCCCTTCCACAGTGACCAGGACTGATCTGTAACCAATAAGGTATTGTGGAAATGATGGAGAGTGACTTCTTGGTCATAAAAGACACTACAGCTCTTAGATCACTCTAACTCTGGTTAGATTACTCATTCTAAAGAAAGTCAGCTGTCATGTACTGACGACACTTAAGCAGCTCTATGGAAAGGTCCACACAGGAAGACCTGAGGCCTCCTGTCCACAACCATTACAAACTTGGGAGCCACATGATTGAGACATCTTAGAAACAGAGCCTCGAGCCCCAGTCAAACCTTCAAATGATTCAGCCTGGGCTAGCATCTTCACTACATCTTCTTAAGAAAGTCTGAGCTAAGCTAAACTACTAACAAATTCCTGATCCATAGAAACTGTGAGATAATAAGTGATTATAGTTATTTCAAGCTGCTAAATTTTGGGATAACTTATTATACAGTAAAAAATAATATAACACATCACCCATATCACAACCCTTGTCAGCTACCCAGGAGCCCTCTTTGTCCCCTACCAACTGTATCATTTCTTACTTTTCTTCAGAGTTTCATCAGCCATGTGTGCATCCTTAAACATTATCATTTTTCTTTTTATTATAATAAGTTAAAAATATGTAAGATTATACATAGCATTTGTGGTAATTCACCCACTGTCTCTAAACTTCAAATTCTTCATTTCTAATAATAGCATTCTTACACGTAATGGTTTAGCGCCTACCCAGTATCTCAGACACTTTTATCCCATTTAATCATTAACAACTATATAAGGTAGGAATAGTTAGCTTTTTAGTTGGAGAAATTAAGGCTCAGTATGGCTAAATGACTTGCTCAACACCACAAAAAAATCCAGTCTCAGTGCTCTTGCTACTGCAAATAGGGTTAGATTATTTTTAAGGGACCCATTTAGCTCTAAGGTGTTAGGCAGATCTGAATGGGGGTTCCAGGTTTGTTTTTTTTTAACTCCCCCTTTGTGGGTACAATATTCTTTAGCATCATCTAGTCGCATCAAGCATAAGGATAAACTTCCTAAAGCGATAATCCAGGCACAGATGATGGTGGCTTGGACCACAATAACAGCAGTGGAAGTGGTGAGAAGTGGTCGGACTCTGGGTATATTTTAAAGGTAGATCTAAGGAGACTGGCTGATAGATCGGAGGCGGTGTGTCAAAGAGAGAAGTCTACGATTACTCCAAGGCTTTTGGTCTGAAGAGCTGGAAGAGTGGAGTTACCAGTTTTTGAGAGTGGTTAGACTGTAGTAGGTCTGGTTCGGGTGAGGTTAGTTTTGTTTTGTTTTGGCAGACAGCGGACAAGAAGGCGGCAACAAAAATGCTGCTTCAGGCCTACGGAGAATCCCATTACACACCCGAGGGGAGAGAAGGGCTAAGGAGCTGGACAACAGTAGAAACCTAACCAAAAAAACCTCAGAGCCCTCCTCTCTCCCCCCGAGGGACTGCTGATTCCTCCCTTTTCGCGTCCATCCCAGCCGCAAGCATCGCGCAGACGCGACGACTCCCGGGTGGGCATGTAGGTCATGGTGTGATGGGGTAGTCACAACAAGCGCACAGCCCACCGCCCTTTACCATTCTATCTGGCGTCCCCACCCCCTTACCTGGCAGCTCTACTCGCCCCGGGCCAGTTTGCGAGAGCGCGCGCGGCGCATGCGCCCACCTACCAGCAGGGGACGTCTGAGCCTCAGGTCCCACCTGAGTTTCCTAGCGAGCAATCAATTGGAAACCTGTGGCAGGGGAGACTAGGAGGATGTAATTAGTACGCTTGCGCAAGACCAGCCTTCTGCGCATGCGCTCTCCTTTCGTTTCCGGCTGGCAGGAGTGAGGGAGGCGGGGCATCCGGGTCGTTTGGCGGATGCTTCTGGCCCCGGAACTCAGCTGTGCGGCCCCTGCCAGACTAGGAGGTGAGGCCACCCCCGTCTGCCGCCAGAGCATGCACGGTGACGCGCATACACACCCCTGTCCCCTCGTACGTTTTCAGAGGGCTGGAGAGGAAAATCGAGTTTGTAATGAACATTTTCCTTTCTCAGTCTCCGGGCTCGGTTCCGGGCCACCGTCACCTGTCGTTGACAGTCCGAGTGGCCCTGGCGAGGCCTGCGGCGGCCTCTTGCACATTCTCTAGGCCGGGCAGTGAGCTACGGTGGTCCTCCGAGTAGCCGGGTTAACCCAGACCTGCAGCGCGCACAGCATCTGCGGGCTGCATTTCCCCCAGCGCCCGGGGTTGCCACTGAAGCTTCTGCCACGGGTATGTGGCTCCCTCACCCCATCCCCGTAGGAAGGCTTTGGAGACTTCCAGTGTGACATCTTTATGCTGGGTGTTTTGACGTCCTCCTGGGCCAGGGGAGGGTAAGGGTGCTGTGCACCGAGCAGTGGGCGAGGAAAGAGGAGAATGGATTATCAGACCCAGCCGGTGTTTGATCTGGGTGCTTAAGTTTTAGCATTTATGGAATGAGTTAATGACATGTGTTTTGCTACGCATTTTTCTTCTGGAATAATGCCTTATTTGCTACGTATATATTTTAAGTAATCTCTACGCCCAACGAAGGCCTTGAACCCACGACTCCCAAGTTCAAGAATCGCAGGTTCTACTGACTGAGCCAGCCAGGTGCCCTGCTATTTGCAAAATTTATTTTAATTTTCCTTTTACCCCTTTTTTCATTCTTCCTCACCAAGCATGACTTTGATTTATGTTCATTTTTGTTTTACGCTGGTCCTTTAGAATTAGGTTCTTGGGTTTTACCTCAAAGAAATTAACGTAAGTTTCCTCCAAATGAAATGAGAAGTAAAGCCATACTTTAAACTTCTTGGTGGTTACATTCATTAAGCTTGACTTTTAACATTAAAAAAATCCTTACAAGTATTTTTTAATTTGTTAAGGTGTGACTTTTAAACTTCAGTAATGGAGCTAGCCCACAGTTTATTGCTAAATGAAGAAGCTTTGGCTCAAATCACTGAAGCAAAGAGACCAGTTTTTATCTTTGAATGGTTGAGATTTCTTGATAAAGTCTTGGTTGCTGCCAACAAGGTATGGTATTTTTTTTTCCAGCTGGGTTTACATAATGAAGAGTATTATATGCTTATGATTTGTAAAAAAACAAGCATTATGTTTTGGAAAGGTTGTGGGTCACTTATGGAATTGAGAATATTACACTGGAATAGGAATTTTAGTCTGTCCTTTTTCTGTTTTGTCACAGAACCTGAGTCTCCTTTGAACCTAGTTCTTTGCCTACTTCATGTCTCTATATGAACAGTTGAATGTGCCTGGAGAAAAATATGATTATATGACTGCCGACATTTTAAATTCATTTATCTCCAACTTCAAGTGGTCCCTCAGTGCTGTCTAGCAATCCCAATATCTTTACTTATCTCCCTGAGGAGTTATAACAGGGTTTTGTTTTTTTTTTTGCTGTTTTCTTCTTCCTACATAGTCTATTTTATCCTAGTTGCTTTTCCTTATGTATATGTTTTATTTTCTCTTTAAAATTAGATATTTTCCTCAAATATCTGATGATGTTTGTCATCTGTTCAAATTTAAGAATGAGTAGTAAGTTCTCTGGGCAGGATGAAGTTCATTAACTGTGCTTCGCGTAGGCTAGTCCTGTTGTTTGAGGAGCCCCTGACGTTGGTATCATAGGTTTCTCTTAGCTACTCATTCCCTGGAAGAGACATTTCTACTCTAGTGTCCTAGGATGTATCACCAGCTGCCTAGATTCTAGGAACTGGGGGAGAAGGCTAGGGACTCCAACATCCAGTATGTAAACTTTCATTTAACCCCCTGTCTTCAGCGCAGTTTTCCCAGCCCACAGCTGTTCTTGAGTTCCCTAAGTCCAGAATGGAGGAGAGAGGTATGAGAATCTTACAGCTTCTAGACTCTCAACTATGTCCTCTAGCTCTAGGCACAGCTTCACTCCTTCCGCCAAAAGCACCTAGAGCTTCAAACAACAACAACAAAACAAACATGAGCTTTATGGGATTCTGTGTTGTAATTTGAGTCTCTTCTTAGCTTTCCCTATTGGGGATACCTGGCTTCTATATTTTCTGTTGATTGTTTTCCTGTTTTCTTTGCTCTTGTAGATTTGTGTTTTTTGTTTTTTGTGGGGTTTTTTTGGTTGCCCTTTAGTATAGTTTTAGTAGTAATTTTGGAGAGACAAAGTTAATGAATGGATTCATTTACAGTCCTTAGCTCAAAGTTTCTATTTTCTCTTAACACCTTCTAAGTGAGTATTTTTTGTCTCCATTCCACTGAAACGGCTCTTGTCTAGTCATCAGTGATCTCAGATTCTTCCAACCAGTGGTCAGTGTTCTGTCTTAGTTGGCCATCAGCAGCTTTTGATATAATTGATCCTCTACCTTTTAGACACTTAACTTTGTTTTTTATTTTGTTGTGAAATTGAAAAATACAAGACTATATACAAGTATTTACTCCCTCAATGACATCATAATATCATGATTTTTACAATAATGACTCCCACATACCCAACTACCTCTTTCTCTCTTAAACAGAATCTCAAAATTAACATATTCAAAGCCAAATTCTTGATTTACCCATCCCAAACCTGTCCTTTCCCTAGTGCTCATCTTCTCAGGAAATGACCATTTCTTCCTTCTGGTTGCTCAGGTCGTAAACCTTAGAGTCATTCTTGACTTCTTTCTTTCTCAAACTTCACATCATATTCATCAGCAAGTCCTATTGGTTCTATCCACCAGATATGTCCAGAATTCAATTATTTGTCATCATTGCCATTGTTCCCACCCTCATCTCTCATCTGGATTATTACAATAATTTCCTAAGTGCTCACCATGCTTCCAACCATGTACCTTGTAGAGTATTCTTTGCTCAGTATTCAGAATGTGCCTTTTAAAATGTTCTGATTGCGTTTCTCTTGTGTTTCAAATTCCTGCTTAGAATGACATAGAAAATTCTTAGAGTGGTGTGTAAGGTGCTATACAATCTGGTCCCTTCTACCCTTCTGACTTCATCTTACACTACTTTGTCTTTGACTCTGCTTCAGCCAAACTGGCCATCTTGCTGTCCTCAACTAAGCAAGCTTCCACCTCAAGGCCTTTGCCCTTGTTCCCTTTGCTTAGAATGTTTTTCTCTCAGATGCCTGCATAGCTCACACCTTCACTTCTTTTCAGAGAGGCCTTTTCTTACTAATCTGTACAAAACAGTAAGAGTGCACACTATTCATTTGTTTACTTGGTGAACTCTGTCTTTCCCCACTAGAATATAAACTCATAAGGGCAGAGACTTTGTCTATTGTGTTCACTCTTTCATCCCAGTGCCTAGAATAGTGCATGGCATATAATAAGTGCACAGTCAGCATTTCTTGAATGAATGAATGAACTCTTGGCATTGATAATGAGTATATCTGAATTTTTCTTTTTATGCTGTCTGCGGCTCTTAAGGTTTCTTTCAGTTTCATTCAGTGACCTATAACTGATGAACTACTGACTTCGCTTTTATAGGGCAGCCTTGCTAGGTTCTAAGACATAAGTTGTCCCTACGCCCAATATTTTATATCCTTTGACTATTGGTTTCTTAGCAAGTTAGTGTGGAAACTTTTTGGATCTAGAGTAGTCACTTTTATTGGTAGCTAACTTTTTGGCATTGGAGGGGGAATGAAGGATAATATTTAATCTAGGAAAGAATGGTTCATTTCTTACCGAACTTTTCCTTATCTTGAAAATTTTCATTTATGGTTTTATGCCTAATGTAATCTAGATTTTAACTGTTGAGTATTTTTAATTTTGATTAAAAGGTAACACAATCACATACAAGAAAAAACTGATAATGTTCTTTATTTTTTTTATAACAGACTGATGTAAAGGAAAAACAGAAAAAACTTGTTGAACAATTAACTGGATTAATAAGTAGTTCACCTGGACCACCTACACGAAAACTGTTAGCTAAAAATCTTGCAGCTCTTTATAGCATTGGGGATACTTTTACGGTTTTTCAAACACTTGATAAATGTAATGACATTATCAGAAATAAAGATGACACTGCAGCCTACTTACCAACAAAACTGTAAGTACTTACTTTGACATATTGTTTTTTTTAGAGTAACTTATCTTAATAAGGGACTACTGATCATAAAGACCGCCAGGTCATTGGAACCTGCAACATGCTGCTTGACAATGAAAGCTCTAAGTAGGTGTGGGGAAGGGGTTCTTTTTCAGTCTGTGTTTCATCGCCACTGGGATGAAAAAGCAAACGACAGAGAATTGGTATGGTGTCAGCAATTTGCACAGAAGTCTTTTGGTAAATTTGGATGGAGAGAATATTCTTGGCTGGGATAGAGAAAAGTGAAGAATGTCTAGGTGATGGGATTGAGGCAGGACTGGGCAAACTAGCCCACAAGCCAAATCCAGCCTGCTGCCTATTTTGTAAAGTTTAATTGGAATACAGACATGCCCGTTCATTTAGGTGGTAGCTGCTATCATGCTGTAGTGGCAGAACTGAGTAGCTGAGACAGAGACCATTTTGCCTGCAAGTTTGCTGACCTTTGGTTTGGGTCAAGGACAGACATTTTCAGAGCAAGTCTTAAGGTTCATGGCTATGGGGTGCATCCTATGAAAGGGTCAAATAAGAAAACCACAACAGTTATAGTACAGTGAAGAGTGTTGTCAAGGGGGAAATAACTCACCTGTGGCATAAGGGGAGAGCAGTGTGAAGGAAGGCTTCTCAAGGAAGGATCGGCCAAAGATCAACAACAGGGAAGGACACATGGAGGTTAGTCAAATAAGTGGTTAAGATGGGAAGATGGATGTGATAGGCCAGGGATTGGCAAACTTTATGAAAAAGAGCCAGGGAGTAACTCTTTTTGGCTTTGTGGACTATCCATCTCTGTCACAACTACTCACCTCTGCCGCAGACTGTGTGCAAATAAAATAGCTGTGTTCCAATGAAATTTTATTTATAAAAACCGGTGGTAGGCTGGATGATGGGCCAGGTTCAACCTGCAAGCTGTAGTTTGCCAACCTATTTTCTAGGCTAAGGAAACTTCTCATTGGAAACAAAAGTAGGTTCTTTATACTTTATTTACAGTGCTTTTCAGAAAGATGCAAAATAGAGGAGGGAACAAGTCCTGAGGGGGAAGACAAGAAGTTCAATTCTGGTGCGCTGATTTGCAGTACAGGAGGGAACATCCAGGGGACAGTGTGTAGTAGGTAGTTTGAAGTCGTGGTCCGAATTTCAGAGCTCTGAGTTGAGATTGTAGTTTTGGCAAGTAGAGTGGAGATTAGGAACCCTTTGGTATAGTTAAAGTTACCTAGGAAGAGTTCTGTTTGGGAACAGAGGATGGCCAAGGATACGTCTCTAGAACGCCATGCAAGGGGCCTGGGCCAGTGTAATAGCTTTCAGAGGAAACGGGGAGATTATTCTGAACCCAGACACTGAGTTTTAGGTCTGTTTTCAACTGCATAGGTAAGTTATGATTAGATTTTGTGTTGTTTGGGATAAGTGTAGATCTCAAAAGTTTTAGAATGAGATTAGAGAGCGCTAGTGCTTTCCAATTTATTTTGGAATTTGAAGCTGTGTTAATACTTTGATGGTTTAGCTCTCCACCACTTAGCAAATCCACACATCACTTTTTAGTTCTGCTTAGGTAGAATTTATCATATATTCCTTATTATTCATATGTATTTCCAGTGGATTCATGGGTTTTGTTTAGGAATTCCCTAAATATTCTGGCATGTGACCTCAGTCCTTTTTAGTTTTGTTATCAGCCTGGAGAGTATTGAGAAAAGCATGGGATTTAGAGTCAACCAGGTGAAGGTTGATTCCCTGATTCTACTATTTAATACATATGTGAAAGTGACACGAGTGTATTTCATGTCTGCCTCAGAGTAACTTGCTCAGGATACATAGCTATTATTAGGTGGCAGAGTCCAGGATTTAGTCACGGATCTGCCAGACTTCAAAGATTATACTCTTCACTCCTCTTCTGTACTCCTGCCTCTAAACTAAACTCACAGCTACTCACTTATTTACTATTCATACAACTGACGATGGAGTGGTTTCCTTTGTCCTGAAGAGATGGGCTTTTGTTACATTTCTTCTTCTGTGTAGCCAAATGTTCCGTGAAAGCCATTTAGATTAAATTTTACAAGTAATTGTTTACTATTATTTGTATATTAAAAGGCAGGAACTGTGAGCAATAAAAAAATGTGTAAGATAGATTCTCTGTTTCCGGATTTTACATTTCCATTGGCAGGATAAGATATACATGTTTATTTATATTTATTTATATTTATTTTTAAAGTAGGCTCTATGCCCAACGTGGGGCTTGAACTCACGACCCTGAGGAGATAAGAGTCACATGCTCTACTGACTGAGCCAGCCAAGCCCCCCAGGATATACACATTTAAATGGTCAAGTCAGAACACAATAAATAACATAATTTTTATCAAAATGAGTGGTTAACATTAAATGTTATATATAATGAGAGAAGAAAAGGAATCATTGTAGATTGACATAATATGGGAAGTCTTCATAAAAGACCATTCTAACAGATACGTACCCATATCTCATTGTGACTTTAGTTTGTATTTCCCTAAGGACTAAAGATGAGCATATTCCTAACAAGAATACAATTTGATCAACCATAGTATTTGTTGCGATTATAAAGAATAGATAAACAAGGTGTTTTTGAAAGTTGAGAATTAAGGATTTGTAGCGAGAAGTGTCCTACACAAATACAAATTGACTTCTGAAAATGAGAAAGGTATCATGAAATTGTATTATTAACCTGAACAATGACCAGTGAAAACATCACTTCTTATAGGGCTGCAGTGGCTTGTGTTGGAGCATTTTATGAAAAAATGGGGAGAATGTTAGGAAGTGCATTTCCAGAGACAGTGAATAATCTTTTGAAATCTCTGAAAAGTGCAGAGGTAAGTTTTACAACAAATATTATTTAAATGTTTTGCTTGTGGCAAGAGTTAGATGTCAGTAAAAATATGTTTGCCTTTTTTCTGTCACTGTGATACTCATACTGCTTAGCAAGAAGGTAATGTAAGATTATTACTTGGAAAAAAATACTCTTGTCCCTTCTTTAATATGTATTACCTTATGTTTCAGTGGGAAGGGAAAGAATGCTTTTCCTTGGCAAAAAATAGGTTTACCTATTATTTTTTATTTAGCCCTATGGATATTTTTGCCCTGCCATTTTATTTTTGTGCCATAGCAAATGTATTAGTCTCCTAGGGTTGCCTTGGGTAATAAATGACCGCAGTGACTTAAAACAACAGAAGTTTGTTGTCTCACAGTTCTGGAAGCAAAAATCCAAAATCGGTGTTGGCAGGGTCATGCTTCTGATGAAAGACCCTTGGGAAGAATCCTTCCCTGCTTTCTTCCCTTCTGGTAGTTGCTAGCAATCCTTGGCGTTCCTTTGTGTTCCTTGATTTGTAGATGCACTTCTCATTTCTGCCTCTGTTGTTACACGGTGTTATTCCTGTGCATCTGTGTTCTGCATCCAAATTCTTCTCATCTTATAAGGATACCAGTGACTGGATTAGGGCCCACCTGAATTGAGTATGACCTTGTCTTTCTTTAATTTCTTATTTCCAAATAAAGTCATGTTCACAGGTAATGGAGTTTAAGACTTGAGAGGAAAAATAATTCTATTTTGTCATGTCAATTTGGTGTTACTTCTGAAAGTTCCTTATCAACTTGGTGTTCAATAAAGCTAGACCAAGCCCTGGACTCTCACAGTCTAATTCCTTCGTCTTGGAAGGCTGAAGATTTCCTCTTCTGGGAACTATTTTTATTTTCATGTTCTTATTAACTTGAACTTCATGTTGTGGAAACATTAGAATATGTTTTCTTGTGGTAACCTGATTTCTCAGCAAGATATTATTTAATTGAAGTTAATACTTATTCTTACCTTTCAGGTACTGCCTAGGATACTTAATTTTATTTTATTTTTCATTACTTACAGAAAACTTTTGTATTTTGTTATGTTCTTGTTTCACCATGGAACTTGTTTTACAACATAGTTTTTAGTTTTGATTTATGTTCACGTCTAGTCTCAAGGGCGAAGTGAAATCTTAATGAGCCTACAGAAAGTTCTGAATGGACTGGGAGGTGCAGCGGCTTCCTCTCATCGTGATATTTACAAGAATGCCAGGTCCCTCTTGACTGACAGGTCGATGGCTGTTCGATGTGCAGTTGCCAAGGTTAGTACTTGCTGATTTATAATGCTATTCCTTTCCCTGCTTCCTCTTAAACAGTGACTTTTTCTTTTAAAGTTTTAAAATGTGATAGAGTACTTTTTGTTCTCATAGATTAGTTGCAATTTGTAGAATTATATACAAATGCAATCATGGGGTATGTGTTCTCTTTCTTTGGTCTGGCTTCTTTTACTCAGCATAATTATCTTGAGCTTCATCTATATTGTTATTGCTGAGTAGTATGTCACTGTGTGGATGTACCACAATTAGTTTATTCCTTCACCTGTTAAGGACATTTGAATTGCTTCCAGTTTAGGCTATTAGAAAAAAAGCTATAAACATCTGTGTACAAGTTTTTGTGTGGACATATGCATTATTCTACCTGGATAAGTACCTAGGAGTGGAATAACTGGATTGTATGATAGATTAATGTTTAACTTTTTAAAAAAATTGCCAAACTATTTTCCAAAGTACTCGTACCATTTTACATTTCCACCAGCAATGTATGAGATTTCTAATTCCTCCACATCCTCATTTGTATTGTCAGTCATTTTGGCCATTCTAACAGATACGTACCCATATCTCATTGTGGCTTTAGTTTGTATTTCCCTAAGGACTAAAGATGAGCATATTTCACGTGCTTTTATTGCCATCCATATCTTCTTTGATGGAGAATCTATTCAAGTCTTTTGCCTGTTGTTTTATTGAGTAGTTTTCTTATTATTGAGTTTTGATAGTACTATATAGAGTTTTTATATATTTTTTTATCAGATAGACGGTTTGCAAATACTTTTTCTCAGCTGTGGCCTATCTTTTCATTCTCTAAATAGTGCCTTTCTAAGGGAAAGAAGGGAAGTTTTGAATTTTGTCAAAGTCCAATTTACCAGTTTTTTTTTCAATTTACCAATTTTTATATCTGTGCTGCTCGTATTGTATCTAAGAAAACTTTTCCTGACTGAAGGTTTCTCTTATGTTTCCTTCTAGAAGTTTCATAGTTTTATACTGAGATATATGATCCATTTTGAGTTAATTTTTAAATATGGTACAAGATATGAATCAAAGTTCTTTTTTTTTTTGCATGTGTATATTCACTTGTTCCAGTACCACATTGAAAACACTATCTTTTCTTCACTTAAATTGCCTTCGCACCTTTGTTGAAAGTTGGTTGTCCATATGTGTATGGGTCTATTTTGGACTCTATTTAATGTTCCACTAATCTATCTTGATGTCCATACCACTGTCCTAATTACTGTACCTTCATAATAAGTCTTGAAACCAGGTAGTGTTAACTTTCCAACTTTGTTCTTTTTCAAAATAGTATTCTAGGCTCTTTGCATTTCCATACGAATTTTAGAATTAACTTACCAATTTCTAGAAAAATACCATGCTGGGATGCTGACTCATACTGGTATTTTACAGTGACTCTGTGGATCAATTTGGGAAAAGTTGACATCTTAACAATATTAAATCTTCTAACTTATTTAGGTCTTCTTTGTTTTCTCTTAGCAACATTTTGTGGTTTCCAGTTATAGGTCTTGGACATTTTTGTCAGATTTATCCCTAAGTATTTCATATTTTCAATGCTATTTTAAATGGTATTGATTTTTAAAATTTTAATTTCTAATTGTTCATTGATAACACAGAAATACACTTGATTTTTGTATATTGTTCTTGTATCTGCCAAAGTTGTTAAATGACTTAAAAGTTCTATCATCTCTTTTAATAGATTCTGTCAGATATTCTACATAGACAATCACGTTGTCTAAGAATAAAGACAGTTTTACTTCTTTTCCAATAAGGATACCTTTTGCTCTGGAGAAATCCTTCAATACAGTGTTGAATTAAAAACATGAGAGCAGGGGCACCTGGGTGGCTCAGCTGGTTAAGCGTCTGCCTTTGGCTCAGGTCATGATCCCAGAGTCCTGGGATCAGGTTCCGTGTTGGGCTCCTTGCTCAGCAGGAAGTCTGCTTCTCCTGCTCCCTCTGCCCCTCCCCCCCATGCTTGCGTGCGCACTCGCTCTCTCACTCTTTCTCAAATAAATAAAAAATCTTTTTTTTTTTTTAATTTTATTAT